ACAAGCAAAGATTAAGGCTCTTTTGACGAAAAAAAAAAAAAAAAATCAGTATTTTTTTTTTTTTATGTAAAATATTTTACACATAAAATATATATATATTTTCTTTTTTGGTGTTTGTTTGGCTTGAATTTCAAAAATATTTTATACAAAATTAAAAAAAATTATATTTGGTTACTTCTAAACTCAACTTCCAAGGATCCAACACAGGCCCTTTTGATAAAACCTCTCTAGAAATTATACTCTCTTTTCTTTGTTATACAGCATCAGTTAACGAATGGTTCCCCTCCCACTAGATTTTTATGTTTCTATGACCTAGATATTCTTTATGGGGTTTGACAGAAAACTTTAATCACTTAAATCTTAGATCTGTTCTTGTGTTTAGGATTTTGAAGAGGGTAAAATTTGAAAAGTTTTTTAATGGCCCCTAGTTACAATTTGGAAACGTTGTAACATTCAATCGATTTTTTGAGAGGAAAGAGATATATGATAGATTCTCACAGACGCGTGAGAGTGAACCAATAAACCGGGTAAAATATTACTGATTTTAAAGGTGTAAAATATTTTACTGAAAATTTTTACTAAGTATTTTATAAAACCAAACACTAAGAGTATCTCTAATCGTTATGTATATATTTTTTTGTGAATATCTGATGTGTCACAATGAATTTATACAAAAATTTTAAATTATTTAATTTTAGTTCCAACGGTTGTTTTATACCTTTTAGGTAAAAATATATTTCTTAATAACCATCAACCATGTGTCATGTCAGGACCCCACTTTTATAAACCTACTTAATATATGATTGATTATTTAATGGAATGAGAAAGAGGAATAAGAAAGAAAATAGATTGATTTGACAGTATAAAAAGGTTGTGTAAAATACACAATCCTTTTACATATAACCTATTGGTAATGTGGCAATGTATTTTAACAGATTGCTGAAGATAGAAAAAATTTACACATCATAAGTGACAGTGTATATTTTACACAAAAAAATATTTTAACATATGACTAGAAATGCTCTAAAAAAATAAGAAAAATAAAAATATTTTTACATTAAAACAAACAGGGATTAAAACGCTATCTAGACTAGGATTTTAGAGTGGAGTTCCGTCCCTTGTCAGTACAATTCAATTGTAAACTGTTTACTTTTACCATTAATGTAAGTGCTTAGATTAAATGGTCGAACGGTTGAAACTTGGTGGAACCTTACTTCAATAACTCTTCCAGTGGATATTGTTTTTAGGTGACTCATAATTTTTTTTTTTTTTTTTTAGTTGTAAGGAATTATTTATTTATTTATTTTTTTTTTCATGTAATATATTTGAACATAGAGAAGATATCTTAAAACGTGAATATCAATTAATATCAGCTGTGAATATCAATTTTTTTTTTTCATGTAATATATTTATTTATTTTCAATTGATTCTTTACCAAATAATTCAATTAAATATTCAATAATATCAGGTGTGAATATCAATTAAAGAATTCAATAATTCCAATATATATATATATATATATATATATATATATATAACGTACATTTTATGTGCACATAACACCTCACTACTATGAGATTAGTAGCATATATATTCCTTGGGCATTTTGAGAAGAGTAAAAGGAAAAATGGGTATTATAACACTAATTTATGTTATATTTTTTATTGAGGGTATTTCTTCACAATGTGAAAAAAAATAAGGGTGTTTTTTGCACACTTTTTTAAATAGGGAGTAAAAGTATTACGTAAGATATACTTTAGGAGTGTTTTCTACACTTACCCCTTTTTTATACAAACCAAATACCAAAAAATATGAAAAATATTTTACATCAAAACAAACAAAGATTAAGGCTCTTTTAACGTTGAAAAAAAAAATTCCGTAAATTATTTTTTATGTAAAATATTTTACACATAAAATAATTTTTTTTTTTTTTTTTTTTTCTTCAGATTACCAAAGAGAGAAATTGAGGTCAATACCCTGTTTATTCATTAATAAATTTAAAGATAATTTGAGAGAGAAAATTTTAGTGACACCACAAACGCATAATTAATGATATCTTTTATACGTAATCTCTTTTATCTCGTAATAATAATCAATGACATTGTAATCCTCTATATTTTTTAAAATATATGGTGGGATGGTTCAAGTCATTTTAAGGACAAATGGGTGTTAAGAATTTATTGTCAATGAAAAAAAAAAAAAAAAAAACTTATAATAAATGTCAAGGGTATATTAAAAATAAAATTTTAAAATATTCAAAGCCATATATTATGAGAAAATAAATGTAATCAATTTCAGGGTTTAAAAGCTGTAATATTAAGAAATAGTACTAGTGGCGGGATTTATTACCACCTTATAAAGACAAATGGGTATTAGGAATTTATTGTCAATGAAAAAAAAAAAAAACTTATAATAAATGTCAAGGGTATATTAAAAATAAAATTTTAGAATATTCAAAGCTATATATTATGAGAAAATAAATCAGTAATCAATTTCAGGATTTAAAAGCTGCGCAATATTAAGAAATAGTACTCGTGGCGGGCTTTAGTACAACTTACAAGGTCGTTAAGCTTACCTTTTCAAAAAAAAAAAAAAAAAAAAAAAAAAAAAAAAAAAACTTACAAGGTCGTTAAGGCCATCGCCTGAGGCCTGCAAGTAAGCCACTTGCACATTAAGGCCTCACTCCTCACTTATTACATTTCTTTATTATATATATAATGCTATTCTTTTTTTCTTTTAATGTGAATATAATTAGTTATTTAAAGGAGCCCTTAAAGAGATGTCTTCTTCTTTAACAACTCGGTTTTTGTTTCTTTGAAAAATGACTTCAAATTACTTGAATAAAAAATTATAGTTTAAGATATCTCTCAAATGTAGTTATCTTTTAATATAAAAGTTTGTATTTATTTTTATTTTTTTTGTGAAAAAGAGAATGATCAATATTTTAACTATAGAAATCAGTTACAACCTCTCATTTTTACACACGTGGAGAGATTCTTTGTATCTTCATCAATAATATCATGAGAGAGAATATGAGAAGTTGATACATGTACCAGCCTTACTAACTTTTGAGTGAGGAAAATATCAAGATCGATTCGTTTTGGATATAATTAGCAGTTTTGGAGCTTAATAAGTTGAAAGGTTTGGAATTCGAATTCTGTTGAGTGTTTTTTGTGATCCTTCAGAACTTTAAGAGATTAGTTAGATTGTTAAGGGATCTTAAAAGTTTGTGTTATTTCGAATACTACGAATTAATTAAATATATATATACACCAAGAACGTTTGCATTTATTTAAAAAACAAGAATTTTTTACTTGTAGTCACGGGATTAAAGTGGGCCTAATTGGAATAGATTATTGTTTGTGTGTGTGTGTGACTTAGGGAAAAGTTGAAAGAAAGTACAATGACTAAATGCAATATATTTGTGCTTTGCAATTAACTAATATTGTGGGTATCATTGAAGCGTGGTGTAATTGCTTCTAAAAAGCTATATTGGACAGAGATCTTCTCACATAAAGAAATAATACTTCATTGTTCATGTTGGATTAATGAGATGGTCATCCCAAACGTAAGTTAGAATTGATATCATTACCAATGTTACATGAATTTGAGACTTCTTTTGCATGGAGGATCGATGCTAAAAGCATACTTTATGCATTGCAAAATATGAAAGTTGTGACTTTCCGAAAAATAACAGAAATATGAATTTTGTATTATCTAATATTTTAAAAATTAAAAAAATTAAAATACTTTAACTACTATCACAATTATTATCGATCTCATTCAAAAAAATGAAATTAGACAATTATATTATTATATTGTTTTGGAAAGAACTCCCAACAAAATATTTAAAGTGTAAGCAGTTTCATAAAAATTTTCTTTTCCTATTTTGGGAATCTTTTGATATTATGTTCAAAGGGTACTTTCCAAATTAAGAAATATTAGGTGTTACCTTCCAAATCTGTTAATATTAGGTACAACTCCTCTGCCTACGCAATTACTCAGTCAGATAAGAGCATTTGCAACAGATTTAATAAGAAAAGTAATAGCTAAAAATAAATAGAGTAAAAGAAATTTAAATTTATCAATCCTCTAATTTACAATGGTTTCTTAATATTTTAAAGATTTGACATTTATTACGGACTGTAATGAACCAAAATATAAGTTATATTGAATAAAAACTTTAAAAATGTGTTAAAAATGATAACAAATTTTTTTTTTCATGATATTGACCATTTTTATATTTGTTCCGTACTTAAAGAATGTCTTAATATATAAGAGATATCCAAACAAGTTCTTAAAAGTTTATAATAGTCTAATCATTATTTTTTTTTACCTCATGTAAGTATTTTTTAAAAAATTCCTTAAATCAATCATTTCATTATTAAAAAATTAAATAATATTTCTCTAAAATAAATGTACCCATTCATTTAAAATAAAAAATATAACTTTTTGTATTTTAAATAATATTAATATTATATTTTTCCTTAATGGTTAAAGTTCACTCAAATATTGTACATGTATAACATAAGTAAGTGAATAAATATACACACAGAAGTTAGTGAACAAGTATACCGATTAAGATATTTACTATTTGACACAGTTTAAATTATTAGGTTTATCGTTCTTAAGAGACCCAAATCATTTTTGGTTTGAATTCGATGAGTAACAAGAATTTTTAATATTTTTTTATGATCAGAACTTATATTACCGTCTACTCGTCCCCTTTAATAGAACAAAAACCCAACTCGTCAACGTATTAAAGATTGGACCCGCTCTAATATCACTCCGTCCCACATTGTGCTGCCTAGAAAGCAACATAAATTGAACTCCCTTCAATTAAAAATAACACAAAAGACAATGTCGTTACAAGTAACAACCTCCCAGCGCGACGTCGTTTAAATGCATCTGTGGAACCTTTCCTCTGCCGACAGATTAAAAAAAGTTGCATGTAATTCGCAACCTCTCATTACCCAAAAAGATATACACACACTCATCATATAAAATACACACAAACACACACATATACAATACATTAAATTGCTTTCTCAAAACAGTTATTTTGCTTTTTCTGTTTCACATTTGCACTTCTTCGTACAAATTGTATCCCTCTGCTTCTCTTCTTGTTTTTTCTGTCTACTTATACGTACCCGTCGTCATCTACCCTCTCTCTCTTTCTATTTCTCTCTGAAACTCTCTCTCTCCCCCCTTCTTTCAGGCGGATAAACCGGTGTGTACAGATCCAAGGCTACATATAGCTGGTAAATTAATCCTAAGCTCTGTTTTACAAATTTTTTTTTCCCCTCTTGAATTACTAACTTCGATTCATTTCTTGGTATGCTAATGGATTGAAAATTACAAGTGGGTTTTCACCAACTTCATTTATGATGCATTTACTGTTCTTCTTACCACGTTGTCTTGCTTTGCGAGTCTTGAATTGCTTCTCATCTTTCTGGGAATTTGGTTCTTTGAATTTTATAATTTTCTTGCACATTTTTGATGAAATTGTGAACTTCTTTGTTGGGATTCGTTTCTTTTTCTTGGATGATCGCGTTTTCGATTGTCAGTTCTGTTCATCGTTTCTGTGCTTTAATTTCCTCCATTTTCCGAGGTCTGAAAATGGGTATAAAATGGGGTCTGGGCTTGTTTGAATTGCAAGATGGGTTTTGTAGTTATGTGAAGTTGCTTCCTTTATTAGGGATTGTGGATCAGTAATTTTGTTTTGGCTTTTGGGGGAGATTGGAGAGTTGCTTCCTCTGATTTGATTGATATGCTTTTTTCTTTTGTGAGTTTAGTTAATGTTTAATATATGTGTGTTCAGATCTCAATCATTTCTTATAGATACATAAACATTCTATTTGATAATCATAATTGTAAAGATCATTGATTTGTGTTAGATCACCTGTCTTAATTTTTGACATACATGTTCTTCCCTTTTTCACCATTTTGCTCTGATTTTTTTATTTTTATTTTTATTTTTTTTCAATTGATTATCACAGAGTTTTCCTAGCATTTCGGAATTTGGTTTCTTGATTTCTAGCTTGGGCCAGCATTTCTTGTTAATGGTTCTTCACTGTTTGGCAGGAAAAAAAGGAAGATTAAATGGAGGAAGGATTTGAATTTCGATGTTGGGACGAATTAATACCTGATGCACTTGGGCTAATATTCAGGAACCTTTCACTTCAGGAGGTACTTACTGTAATCCCAAGGGTTTGCAAATCATGGGGACAAGCAGTGATGGGGCCTTATTGCTGGCAAGAGATTGACATTGAGGAATGGAGTCGGCACTGCCAGACCAACAACATTGATCGAATGCTTCAAATGCTGATCACAAGAAGCTGTGGTTCAGTCCGCAAGCTCTGCGTGTCTGGCCTATCCGGTGACCCGAGTTTTTTCTTCATTGCAGACCAGTGAGTAAATTTCTCTACTGCATTACTGTTAGCCTTCAATTTCCATATGTTCCTTTTGTCTTTGTTTATGCAAGAAGATCACAGCAATCCCTCCTTCAACTTATAATAAATTCTACTCGAGAAATTGATCCTTGGACTTTGGTGATTTGGGTTATTCCCTTTTTAGTATATGACAACAGAATTAATGATTAACCAAGGAACAATGTAAAGTAAATAAGTCCAATTACAGCGAGAATTGTTTTGGTTTAATAATTTCCATTAACTTGCACAAAATTCCATGAGTTAATTGTATTTCCTGCTATTGTTTTTTCAAGTCAAAGCTTAGCTTCTCATTTTGCAAATTGCTCAAGTAGGAATATATGGTATAACTATGTAGCTTAATTGTGAATTCGGGTTTTTGTATTTAACTGTTTGTTGTTTTGGTTGGAAGTGCCAAATCTCTTCAGACTTTGCGGCTGCAAAGAAGTGAAATAAGCGATTCAGTAGTGGAACAGATTGCAGGGAGGCTCTCTTCAATAACTTTCCTGGATGTGAGCTATTGTAGGAAGATTGGAGCCCCAGCCCTTGAGGCTATTGGAAGGCACTGTAAATTCCTTACGGGATTGCGTCGAATCATGCACCCACTAGAAGCGATTGATAAGCTTTCTCAAGACGATGAGGCTCATGCCATTGCTGCCACAATGCCCAAGCTCAAGCACCTTGAGATAGCCTACTTGCTTGTTGCTACAAAAAGTGTGCTTGCAATACTTGCAAACTGCCAAGAGCTCGAGTTATTGGACTTGCGAGGGTGTTGGAATGTGAGTCTCGATGAGAAGTTTCTCAAGAAATTTGCAGGGCTGAAGGTGGTTGGACCCCTTGTTGATTCTTATGAGATCAATGGCTGGGACAATTGCTCGAATTACTCTGGTTCGTCTGGTTACGTGCCCTGGGAATTTGTGGCTGGTGAAATAGACGATTACTATGATGAGATATCCGATGGGTTTTGGGAAGACGACCAAAATGCTGAGGATGTGGAAATGTGGTTCTACGACGGCCTTTTTGATGCTGCTGTGGATGCTGGCCTTGATTGGCCCCAATCTCCTTGAGGTTTGCTTGTGTAAATGTTTGATGGATTTCGATATATGTCACTGCTCGTTTGCTATGTTGTTAGAAATTCTGCTTGTATTGCTACTTAGTTGGCCATTATATGTTCTATATGAAAGTATATCTCTGCTTTTCTAAAGATACATGCTGTTGAATGGTAGTGGTTTGTAACCTTGTTGTATATAATATAGTTCTATTTCTCTGCTAAAGAAAAAATGAAGTAACAGAGCAGCAATTGGAAATACTTTTGTGCTTTCAAATACTGAAATTTGCTTTCTTATCTGCTCTCAAATGCAATAGTAGATCTTAAAATTGATAACCAAAGAGAGAGAAAAATAATGTTTCCTGTGGAGATGACAGTCCTAAATCTACTTTGGTTGCCACCCACCCAAACAACACAAGGCAATAAATAAAATAAAAGCTGGAATCCAGAAAGAAATGGTCCCTATCATATGCTGAATGAGCTTCTTTTGCCTTCAAGAGTACAAATGGACCACTTCAGAATAATTCCTATATGTGGTGTGTTTATGTGTGTATTGTTGCAATGAAATATCTTCTCATTATTTGTTGACAATAATATAAATTTTTGATTCGGATTAAGAAATATTTGGATTTTAGTTAAATATTAATTAATCATTGTGTCTTAGGATCTATCCATTATTAGTTTGCAGGGTCCCACTTTCATACATGATGATGGGGGGTGCAATGCATGTTTGTCTTGCCCCATCTTCACAAGATGTTTTAAGAAGAAGTGATGAATAGAGCAGAATAGCTGAAAACAAATGGTTACTTTGATTTCACACCATTAAAAGATTTCTGCAGGCAACAAGAACAAACAAATAACACACACACACACAATTGGGCATGTATAAATCTAAGAAAAAGTAAATTGCTGGTGGGCCATTTCAAAGGGACTGAGAGAGAGAGATGCCAAACCTGTGACTCATTCTGTAGCACTGGAAAGTAAATTGGTAGTATAGAAGGTTTGTGTCTGTATTTGGTTGGCTTTACAAAAGATGAGGAGGAAGATGCCTTTTGGATAGATATCATATGAGTCTCAACAAAAAAAGGGCCAGCATTTCTTTAACTTTTGTGTGCCAAAACATCAACAACAATCTGTGTGTAGGGCCCTGTATCTTTTAGCTCTTACATACACGAGTAAATCTTGAAATTACAGTGAATGTTGGTTGTATCATGTAGCGATGTGATATATCATTGGCTTTTTTCTTTTTCTTTTTTTAATTACAAAAACACATATAATTGGCTGTTGGTGTTGGAATATCCTCACATTTATTATTATTATTATTATTATTTTTAAAAAACAAAGTAATAATTCAAAAGAAGAGAGAGAGTTCACAATTGGCTACCACTAAAATATGATTTTTCTAGAAATTGACAAGTGGAAATATATGTACCAAAAGATCTGAAATCTAGAAGATAAGAAAACAATAAACAATGGTAGATTTTTATAATAATTCAAGAAAAAAACTTGAGAAAGTGTGAATGTTTAAGAATAATCTTGAAAAAGGTTAGGAGGTAGGGTTGTGTTATAAATACGCCAAGACTGGCCATGGAAGCCAAACTAAAAAATTATCACTATGCGAGTTATAAAAGATATTTTTCTTCCAGCTATCGAGATGGTGAGATTGAGATTGAGATTTATGTTTTTGTCTAAAATTATCTTATAAATTATGATTAATTATGAAAATGGTACAAGTCTAAGAGATTCTACTCCAGCCATTGTCTAGAGATGAAAACTTCTCCGGAATCAATTAACCATGATTAACCAATAAAAAAGCATTTTCATACCATTCACGAGTGTCACGTATACACATATATGTCGTATCACATAATGAGATTCGAATAATAAAAAGGATAAATTACATTTGCATCCTTTGATGTTTCAATAAATGACACTCAGATGTAAATCAACGCATTTTTAACCATGACACTCCTATGGTTGCAAATGTCATATTTGTTCTTAATTATTTAATTCAATTAATTTATAAAATAGCAACCCAGTTAATTGACGAAACTACCCTCTCATCGTTAAGCCTCCTTCTGTATCCTAATCTGTAACTCTTTTTTTTCTTCTTTTTGGGTTCATTTTAGTACTTAGCTAGCGGCCGACTCTCCCTTTCTCTCTTACTAATCTCTTGTGGTGGTTATGGTAGTGTTTAGGTTATCAGGATGTTTAAAAAATAAAAATAAAAATTAATTTTTTTTTATTTATTTATTGTGGTGATGGTAGTGGTTCTGGTAGCGTCTCTGTGTGTTGGTAGTGTTGTCTTTGGTGTGCGGGTGGCATTTGGGACGAATAAGTTAGGTTGGCCATGACTGTTTTCAAATTTTTTATTTTTTATTTTTTATTTATTTTATATATTTATTTTTATTTATCTACTGTGGTCTTTGGGTGTGGTGGTGGCGGCGGCTATGGTGGTGTACTTGCTATTTAAATAAATATATTAATTTTCTTTTTAATTTTTAATTTTTATGTTATGGTGGTATAAGTATTGTTATATATAAATTATACGACAATACTTAAATCCTCTCACAAGCGAGGATCTACAATATACTCACTATCTATGATTTGGTAATTAAAATAAAAATTTATTATCGATCCACATCAGTGAAAATGTTATAAATCCTCACCAGTGAGGACTTAACTATTGAGCTAAACTATATCCATATGTATACAAGAGATGAAGATGTAAGTTTTGTCCAAAGTTAAATTTATGATTTTATAATTTAAATAAAGTTACTGATAAGTCAAAAAGGTTAAAAAATAATTTCATATAATTTTAGAGATTTGAAGGGGCGTGGATGCATATTTTTGAGAGTGTCAATGTAAAAAAATCCATTGACTTTTCACCGAGCGTCGCGACCAAAACCTGCAATTTACCTTAATAAAAAAAAAATAGCACATACTTAATTTTGATAATTTTTTTATTCAGCTGTATTGGGACATGAAAAGTCTTTCTAAGAATGTTTAAATCAAAAGTCGCAAAACATATGTATTAAAGTTTCAGAATATTCCGAGAGAAAAGGCACCAAATGTAAGCATTATTTTTTGCAGTAGCAAAACCCTTCGGAAAAGTAAAGTAATCTGAACATCACATACACACAGGACTTTTATGGCCACTAGTAACCATCACAGGCTCTGTTGAATAGATTGCAGAAACTGCAACAACGATTTCGACCCAGATTCATTAAACCTTATGCCAGAACCGATGACCTAGAATTTAATAAATCAGATCGATATAAATCCTCATCTTCAATTACAGGTGGTATACTCCATGTTCCAAGAGATGGTCCGGATATTTTCCCACCTACAAAAATCAAATTTAGTCAGATCATGTTCCAAAATAATAATAAAAACTATAAAATAAATAAAGAGAAATAATTGTGTTAATGAAAAGGAAAGAATGCTACCATATTTATACAAATAACAGGATTAAAGTAAATGATCCTAAATAGGTGGCACAAGGCTACGTTGAGTCCAGCGTCAAATGAACCAAATGTGAATCACCCACAAAAAATTTACCTTCTCTTGTGGCTTCTTCACATCTTCTCTGGTAATTCATGGACAGTTTAGAATCCAAAGCTTCCAATAGGTGTTTGTACTTCTTTTCAGCATCAGTTATGTATTTTGCCTATTGAAGGAGAAAAAAAAAAAAAAACACCAACACACAAAAACAAAAAGGACGACGAATTTTCAAGTAATGCTAAAGCTTTCCAATGACTATATACTAAAACAGTCCAAACAAATAAATCAAGAAACTAACGCTATGAGATTCAAATGAAGACATGAAAATTGGACATGTTACCATATGTGGTGAAGTTCACAGTTCAGGTATCCAAAATAATTGGTCCTACAACCCACTATAGGACACAGATTACTAAAATTATTAACTATTCAGATCATGCCCAAAGACTATATTTCCCCATTATGACAACCTTCCAAGAACATACTAAAGATACAAGAAACATCTACGTGACATGAGCTCTCCTTAATTCATGAAGTACCAAAGCAGGATAAACACCCGAGGAAGGGTATGGAATTGGACAGGCACCCATGAAGCGTAAACGAACACGTAAAACCCTCTTGCTATTTATTCCTTTTGTTACATCATTACTTAAAACGGGTAGAGTGCTCGTGTAAAATACTATATGTCCCATCAAACACCATTTTATCCTAAGAAATAATAAATAAATATATAACCTCATCATCATGTTTTTGGGTTTGGGATTTGATAAATCTGACAGCCGATGCACATGATGTGTCCATGCAACACAGAGAGATAATCGAGTAATGCTCCTAAGAGGACCCTCTTAGGAGGGCTTTACTCTATATAATCAGCCCATAGTTAAAGGCCACCAACCAACTGGCTTTACCAAAAACTGCATGGTGATGCATGTATTTCCAACCATATAACATGGTTGCTGTGTCTTGAAGAGAGAATGATTGTAAGAAATCATTTTTCCTGTTTATATGTTTTTTTTCCCTTCTTAGTACCGGTGCAAACTTGATCCAATATGATTGCCCAATGAGTGAAATAAATTTCAGGCAGTGATATTTATAAGACATACCAAGATAAACTAGATGTACTCACCAGCATGGTTGGTGCTGTGGAAGTTCCATATATTCTGACGAACATGCGTAAAATATTAAAATTATTCTCCAACACATCATCCTACAGAAGAAACAACAATATTTTATCTTCAAGAGAGGGCAAACTAATTAAAAAGAATAAATATATAACCAAGATTAACTAGGAAAAAAATATATATATAAACGAGATTAGGGAACTCCTCACTCACCTCATAGTCAAACCTACATCATCATGGTATCATCTTCTTAATAACCAGATATGATATTATGCTTCACATGTGCATTAAAATTTTCAAAAAAAAAGAAAAGAAGGTAGGATTAATTATCCAACAGAGATGGAACCAATAAATAATAGCCCCAAAACAGCAAAAGCATGAAAACAAGTGAAAATGCAGACATGTTTCCACAGACAAGATCTCAAAACTCACATGAAAATGCCTATCCTGATGGAATAATTATACGTAAACTCACGAGGACCAACACAAGCAACTTCCATATAATTTCAGTCCATTTCTTTTATGACTAGTACATAATAATGAATATAAAAAGGGCTATAACACTTGCTCTGTAGAATAATTTTCACAAAAGTTTCTTTAATGGAATTGAAGGGAAATAAATTATTTGAGTACCAAGAGAAGGAAAGTACTTACAAATCATCAGATACCTCTACGAGGAATTCAGAGATTGATAGGAATTCCATATGCAATTCATTTACCTTCACAACAGCTTCACAGAGAACAAATTAAACTGGTGAAATATAACATTTCCAACAGAACTGGAGAAATAAAATGCACTTCATCAAGTTAAGGTTACAATAGCAGTGAAAAGGCCAAAAAGGCCATTACCGAGTGGCTCTTCCTACATTTTGAGGTGCAGGGTGGAGAAGACTCCAATACAAACCAAACCTTTGGTATTATTTTGCACAAAGTGTCTACTCTTGGATTCCACAGAATATAGCTGGCCTAATAACCGTCCTATACAATTTTTCTTTTAATTTATTTGACATTCGTTTGTCAAATAGGATACAACTAGCTTGCCTCCATTCTGTCCACCTGCTCCAATCCTACATTCTACATCACCATCTGTCTACCCATCTTTTTGTAATCTAACATTCCAGATCAAAATAATTATCTCATTCATAAGCAAATGAATATAAGAAATCTACCAACAGGTCAACAGAGATGTACCTTTTCTCCTCTCAACTGATACAGCAGAAGATTCAGCACCCGATAATCAAAGGATTTCAGATGAATAGCTCTTATCACGTCTTCGATAGAAATCTGTGCAACATAATATCTATGATAACAGAAAACAAAGAAAAGCAAAATATTGATCTTTCCCACTTTCCACATAATGTCATTAAATTAAATACCAAATGTCAGCGGAGCATTTTTGTAGGAAAGTTTTTAAAACTGACATTCTACCAGTTTTCTACATTCAGAGGGAAAAAATGGAGAATTGCATGAAAACTACCTCAAGTAAAATTTAAGAACTATACTAGAAATATATCAATTTGAGAATAATTAAACGTGTCAGAAACAGTTTGTTAACTTTGTTAAGACTTGATTTATTTGAATAAAACAGCCTCTTGAGTTATCTGTGCAACATTTTTTAATATCACTGTGGTACTGTGATAACAGTATGAAGCCATATATCTTTCACCATGAAAGAAACTCAATTTGCTTGCTTTGAATTCTATGTACAGTTTCCAGCATAGCACAAGTATAGTATTTCATTAGGAACTAGCATTCCGCTTTTCTCTTATCCTGTATTTTAAACTAGAGTTCTCTTGCTGGCAGGCCTTGAGCAAAGAGAAGGATCGATGATTAGATATCCTAAATTTTAAAAATAATTAATTTTTCTATTAGTCGTATGCTGAGCAAATTGCAGAAAATATGCTACTTCTTATGGTCTGACCATCAGTAAGGAGCATGTCTTCTGCGTCATGAAAAAAGTATAAGCTTGAATTTAATTTCAGGATCCAGTTTGGCATTATCCATGCTCTTGCATATTGACTGTTTTGGATTTGAAGATTGAATAGGTTGGGCTGGATGCAGTACAGATATGAACGGCATTAAATTACATAAAGATTGCAAAACTTGAAAGATGATGTACAAGGAGGTTTTTCCCAATAAAATTCCTTGTGCGCATATAAGAGAATGTATTCATTAAATTATTAGTTTTCCTAAAATTAGATAGATAGCACATCATACAGACATAAAAAACAATGATTGTGAAATTTAAAAAGTTTGGATGATTAGGAAATTAATTTCAGCAGAAGAGATTATGGTGATATCTACCTCCATTTTGCTTGTTAGTGCACAGCAGAGCTTTCTTTCAAGAACCCAATATTCTTCTCCACACCTAAACTCTTCTCGTATCCTGAACCCATAAAGAACAAGCAGATGAACAAAACTCATAGGCGTGTTTTTACACTACTTTTCACAAAAGAATATGTTTGTAAGCAAAAGATTGGACCTCTCAGTCAAAAGTCCATGATGTGCAAGTATAACAAGCAGCGGTCCAAAGGGATCTGTTCCGAGCAGTTTCATGCCCTTAACAATACAGCTCTGTTCAACTTTCTGTATCAGCCAAAATTAAGTGGGCCAAGTAAGAGTTGATGAACTGTTTAAAAGAATTGTGTATCATGTCTGTTTATAGTTATACCACATCAGATCCTCCTCCTATAATTGGAACTCCAATTGCTGGAAATTGCAGTAGTTTCTCGTTCAAAGTATCCAACTGATCACCAAAAAAAAATTAAAAAAAAAAAAACCGCTATTTAAGGAACAAGGAACAAAAAGAATCTGGTAGCTAATGGTCCACGTTATCAAATGTTGGAACTGGTTGCAACACTATACATCTCAAAATTGCACTGCCTTTGGACCATTTTTGAAGAAGAAAGACAGCAACATGGCTTATCTCAAAAAGGGCTCTTTGATTTCTGTATAGGCTTTAGAAAGAGAGAGAAAGAAAATAAAAAATTACACATAAACATAGGATGGCTAGGAAGTAGGCATATTGCCTCAGTAAAAGGATATTCCATACTTCAAGTTGAAGTAGGGATGTATGTTTCCACAACATCATAATAACACAAAGGCTGCAGGGGTATATTTTTTGAGTTCTCAATACCGTTTCAACAAATTTAATCAAGAAGTATTCAACAAATCTTCATTTAATAATAAAATACCAAACATGAGATATTTGCCAAATTGTTTACCTGATAAATAAAACTTTCTGTAAATGAAAGCATTGGGAGATATCTGAATATTGATTGTGGCTTATTTACATCCATTTCGTGAAACATAAAATAAGATCTGCACTGTTAATTTGAGAGAAAATCACAACATCACCAATTGGAATAATTAGATAATAACAGTTTGCAACCATGATAATGTAAATTTATTTGTATTACCATGACTATGCTCATCTTTGAAAGTGCCTAACAGTGAAGAAAAGAATGATGGTATAATAGCAGCAGATGATTGATGCAAGGCATTCCATTGATGATATTTCATCATGCAAACTCAAGAACCGTGAAAATGTTAACAACAAGAGAGAACCAAAAGGAAGAAAAAAGAAAGCAGAAAATGTTAGTTTCCAAATTCATAATTAAAGGAGTCCAGCTTAGTCTGCTATACGCTACTTCATGAACCTGATTGTCATACTTCAAGCAGAGATCAATTTGATACTCAGTTTGTCGCACTAATTCAGCAAATCAGATTGAGGATTGTTCAATTCATTCAAAATTATGTATAGATCTATAAAAGTTATTTGATTGGAGGGTTTAAACATTCTGCTTAATAAGCACCACAACCATGACAAGCACTAGCTACAAAATAATTATATCAAAACTAAGAACTCAACTACAAAATCAGCGGGGAACACTTGACTCTTAATAGAACAAAATGATTGAAAAAATAAAATAAAAATGCGAAATCTAAATTTGCAGTTTCTTTTAGAAAATTCATCCACTGTATTTAAGCAGGATGTCAAGAGAAAAAGACTGAAGACAAACTTAATCTTTGATATTATTTGAACTAAGTGGTTGCTCTCATACTCAAAATCGCATTTTCACACTTCTCAAACCAAGAAATGACTCCCCTCTAGTTTGAAAACGTACTAATAAAATATTTAAGTTTCTAAAAAAACATTAAGCGCTTGTTTCAAATATAAATGCAAAACAAATTCTTGTTCAGAATCACAGATTGACACAACTTCCAATAAGATAGAAAACCTCTTGGTTCAAGCACCTTATTGTTATTAATCTAGTACAGTCACTAGGCCAGTTATACACACAGAAAGCTTAAATAGTTAAATATTAGCATGTCCATACGTAAAACAAAAAATGCAGCATTAGCTTATCCCCTGCTTTTCAAAAGTTCCCGTGGTTTGTCTATCACAAAATCAACGAAAGAAGAAAGGTATTGCTTACAAAATCTTCTAGGGTAGAGTTTGCTCGTTGCATTGCATCCAGCCCAACCATAGCCATGTCTTCAGAATCACTTTGTGATGAAGCACAACCTACTTTATTGTCATGAAAAAGTGGGGAAGTATTTTCAAGTTGTTCATTTCCTGCAAGAAATTTACAGCTGAACACACATATTATTAAACAAATAATGTGAAGCCAAATACAGCAAAACAAACAGTTTCTCAAGAAATAGTTAAAACAGTAAACCCCTGATAATTTGTTTTCTTATCAAATATCTCAAATGGTATTTCACAAATATGGAATCTCATATGTACTGGTGATAGTTTAAAAATTTTAGACAATGAAAGTATCAAATTTCTTCCCTATGAATTAAAAGGAACTGTTAAAACGAGCATTTGTCAATTTTGTAAAGTAATAAGAGATATATTCAACCCAAGTAGTTGGGAAAAGGCTTTGTTAAGTTGAGTCGATTTTAGTAAGAAATGGATTCAAACTTGTATTTATTCTATCAAATGGTTTCTCCTATATATTTTCATGGAAACTATATATTTTATGTCATTTAAACACCAGCACCATCGGTGCAAGGATGTTGAGAGAATGAGTAAAACAAATGACAGAAAACAAATATTCACTGGAGGAATGTCCTAAAGAAGAATTCAACGATTATAGCTTCCCTGAAACAACCACCATGATTGCTTTCTAAATGCATAATACCTTCCCCACCAAGCCAGAGCAGTGCTTCCTCAAGAAACGCAGCCGAAATCTGTCAAAACAGATGATATAAGCACACAAATTGCATCCTCTGACTGTCACAGAAGTGGAAGCAGAACAAGCAGCAAGCAGTACTCACCTTGGACAAGTGCTCAGAAATCAATTGGCACTTCATATCCATGTCAAGTTCACCACAAGGTTGTAACTTCAACATGTCATATACAAAAAATAAAGGATCAACAAATGCTGCAGAATGCTTTTTCTGCTTCATGTTAAGAACAAAGAGAAAGGTGCCACAAGATCACTCGTGTCTATACTCTATACAGGCACATGTGCATGCACTGAATGAAAAAAATAACTCAGAAATAATACCTCCATGGTAGCCCCACAAGATTCAACACTTGATATAGGAAAGCCATATTTTTTTAAGAACTGAAGTTGGGCCATGAAACTAAATGTTTGAACATATCTGAGGTAAGAATTACACATGCTCCCACACACATGCACGCATGCACGCACGCGTGCATGTGAGAGAGAGAGAGATGCATCCCAACAAAAGTAAAAACAATACCCTGTTCAGGGTACTAAATCCTACGATACATGCCAAAATAGTATAGTAATAGATATAAATGCCACCATATCTTGGTTTAATATTTTGACTCGGCTAAAGTTAGCCCAAAAATTGAGTACAAATACATGGAAACATTTGGAGACACCATGTACATATGACATCTTATATGACATTGTACCAGATAATTGAGTTCCCCTATGAAGGTATTCTTGAACAAAATGAATTTTTTTTAAAGGATGTATGAGCATTGTGGACTATTTTGTAAATGTAACAATCGGGAAACAATACAGAAAACTAGAAGGTTTTATAAGAATAAAAGAAAACTATTTATATAATTAATGGTTTGCTTGATACAAAATCACTTGGAGAGGTATATAGAAATTTAGAAGGACTTCTTATTTTATGGTGAAACGCTGCATGTGAATCGCTTCTCAGTTCCCTTTTCCCATTTTATAAGAAGTTGGAAGAGCAAGAATGGAGCTCTTCAGGCATTTCACCAGTACTATCTTCATCTTCTACTCTCAAATGTGAGATTGGTTTCCACTATAATCAGAACTCGAACCTTGGCCAATAGCGTAATTATGACCTAATGTAGAGAATGAGACAACATGGACTCAAATTCTCCAATCATCGTTGCAGCTTCTAGCTCTTGATTTGCTCCTATGACATACTACTCCTACCAATTTTTTGCTAACACCAGATGCGAAGTATACTTTGGCAATAAAAAAGCCTAATTTTGAAGATTTCTAGCAGGCGCTTTTCATCCTCACATGTCCAACGGGGATACTTTGTCCAACACAAATTCAGTATATAGGTCGATGTCATTGTACACCAATATGGGTACCTTGGGATAAATAAGTCCGTCCAAGTAAAAGATCCGGCATTGATCAGTCACTAACAATTGAGATTTTAAAACTCAGGAACAGTCTCTACACTTATGCAAGCTATAAAATAAACCCTAAAAATAATCTACTTGGGATAATCTAGTGAATTACATTTTGACTTAAATTACTATGTAATACTTATAGCCCGGCCATAAGACATGTATTTATTTATTATTTTAGATTTATTTTCCGGTAAGGAAGATATGTATTTATGCTTCAAGCTTAACAGCAACAACATTTCATGTGTTAAATGCATTATAACCAATAAATTGTGAAAAATGGGAAAATTCCGACATAATTTGAATAATAGTGAAGATGTTTTGGGGTTTACCAAAAAGAGGATGAGATTAGCGACGAAGCGATCGGAGTCGGCGTTTCCGTTGGAAGAATTGATTACGCCATGCGAGTGCATCAACAATAGTGTCCTCTGTACTTGTTCTAGCTTCCTTAGTCCTTCCATTTCACTACACTCGATGCTTTGCTCTGTATGTGTATGTATGTATTCCTCTCACTACACTCGATGCTTTGCTCTATATGTGCGTATGAGAAGTCGCGAGCAAGAAGAATTGAGAGAGCAAATTATACGAGGACCGAGGGGGACCAAAAGCAAATGTTTTATTTTCTTTTAGAAAATGAAAAAGTTTTATTTTTATTTTTCTAGTAAATTGGGAAAGGGAACTCCAACACGGCAGAACCTTCCCGCTGGGTACAACTGAAAAACACTTATGTTATGTTTGGTGTACAGGAATGGAATGGAATGGAATGCCCATTTTAATTATTTTTCTGTTTGGTGTGTATAAATGAAATGGAATGACCATTCCATTATAATAAAAATACTGGGAATGAAAATCCATTCCACAACTAAACCTATAAAATGGTCATTCCATTCCCAAGTAATCTTTTTAAAAAAATCAACTTCCCAAAAAACCCTCATATTTCAAGTCCAAAAACCACTATTACCTTCCACCACAACCACCTCTGCCTTACTCATCACCACCACTACCACCGTCTTCCAGCACCACCACCACCGCCTTTCACCACAGCTACTACCACCGTTTTCCACAACCACCAGCGCCAGCTTTCACCACCACTACTGCCACCACCTTTCACCACCTTCCATTACCATCACCGCCATCACCTTTCACCACTACCACCACCTTTCACCACCACCGCCGCCGCCTTTCACCACCATCGTCACTGCCACCGCCTTACACCAACACCACCACTGCCATTACCTTCCACAACCTTCCATCACCACCACTGCCACCACTGCTTTCCACCACCGCCACTGCCTTCCACCACCACCATTGTCACCACCTTCCACCACCACTACCATAGTCACATCACTATCTCCTTCTACCACAATTACCACACTACTGCCACCACCTTCCACTGATAGCACTGCCACCTTCCACCACCACCACCACCACCACCACCATCGCTACCTTCTAACACCACCACCTATACCACTACCGCTTTCCACCATCCACTACCGCTACCATTGATTTTTAAAAATTATTAGAGAATGTCATGTTGTTAATTTGATTTACTTGTTACTAAGAGGGATATTTTGGAGAATTTAATAAAAAATTTATTCCATTCTAAATTTTAAATTAGTCCAACCAAACAATAGAATGGTTATTATCATTCATTTCATATTTACAACCAAACAATAGAATGGTTATTATCATTCATTTCATATTTACAACCAAACAATAGAATGAGAATGGCCATTCCATTCCATTCACATTCTCATTTCATTCCCACTTGCATTCCATTCTATTCCTGCACACCAAACATAACATTTATGCCTTATCTTTTATCACTTGGGCAACACCCTACACTTAAAAGTTATTTGGTGGTGTTAATAGCCCCATCAAAATATACTCATTTCACTTTCTATCCGGATTTAACGGGACAAATCCTCCTTATAACATTCTCTCCCACCCGAACTCACAACACCCTCGTTATAGTCGGATCACCCTACATACCCAGAGTGGCACGCCCAAACTCCTCTAAACCCGTCCTCCTTTTAATTTGCTTATAAATTTTTAATAAATTACAAGCAAATTCTTACAAATTTTTTTTTTCCTACATGTTAACATACAATAAATTAAAATTTAACAAAGAAGTTTGAAAAGAAAAAAAATGATTATAATTTGAATATTATATATAATGTATTTCTATATATGTATATATTATTAGAATTTGTGTTTGGGTTGGGCTCGGGTTTCTAGCACCTCAACACAAGCCTAACCCTAATTAAGTTCAGGTTGAATTTTTTTTAATTCAGATCCAACCCTAATTGTAAAAATGATTGTCCAAGCTCGTGAAAAATCGGGTTGGGCTCGAGTTAGATTTGGGTTACCCAATCTAAGTTGCACCCCTAATCCGAATCAGGTGTTTGGTGTGATATCGGATCAAGGACAAAAATCTGGCTCTGATACTAATTTTGACGGACCTTTTGTTTTGCAATCCGATTTAAAACTTTAAGCTATTATTTTTTTTCTTTTTGCATTTTTTTTACTCCGTATTTTTTAGTTGGTGCATCCGTAGTTATTTTCTACAGTACTGTTTTATAAAGAAGCCAAAAGCTACTTAATTAGCCATCGCATAATGTCAAAAGCTAGTTTGGTGTTTCTTTCATATGCAAATAGGAATTGACAAGACTTGACAAATTATCACTGCATTTTTTTGAAAGAGATGTAAATGTTTATTCTTTTTCTTATATTATCAGTGAATATTAAAACATTCAACAAGCGATATGTCATCAGAAAGACGATAATGAAACTCCATTTTTTGTTAATATTTGAATTCCCTGGTTTAAATTTTATTCGAAGATTTACTTGTATTTATTCTTCTTTTTCAAGCCGTCTAAATTATACTGGTTTGAATGTTTACAGAACTGTAAAGCATACATTAAAATATTGACAGGGCCAGCCAACATAATGCACAAATTCAAAAAAAAAAATATTGGCCGTAGATTTCATCATCCTAAGTTTGAGAATTTAAAAGTTGATGAATGTTTAAATTTTATCCTTTTTGTCGAATCTTTTGTCCTCCCACTTGTCTTTAAATAATATAATACAACAAATTGATCATTCAAACAATTTAATAATTTACAAATATCAATCTTAATTTAAAAAAATTCTACAATAATTTTCACTGATAAATCACCTCCAAATTTAAAAACATTTACCAAAAAAAAAAAAAATCATAACCATTCCTAGTATTAAGTAAGTGAAAGAAAAAAAAAAAAAAAAATCTGAGAAATTGTAGTTCTGAAAAGTACATATGGTTCCAACAGCCGCCGGTAGTCATAAGACTCGAGGCCAATTCCCCAACAATATATGTTTAAAAGTAGTATACACAGGTGTTGCACATCACAAACAAGAACAATATGCTTACTGTTACAAACTACAGTTTCTTCTCTGTTTCCTTTGCTGTATTTCCTTCTCCCTCAGAAGCCACAAATTCAGCAACATGGGAAACATTACCTGCCTGAGGATACGATGACTGAACCAGCAAAATCCAATTGCCTGTGATAAAACAAGATATAATAGCTGGCTTTCAACTTTGAAGAAGATAAACAAACCCCATCTAGATTATAGATGCTTCAAAATCCTAGATTCTGTCATTGTTGGCTTCCGTTTGCCCAGCCAAAGCTTCAATTTGGTCAGTTCCAATCTGGTTTATCTTGTCCTCAGCAGAATTGCTTGTTTCAGTGGCTTTCTGATCATGAATAGGTCCCCGTCTCTCCCATAACTTTCCAGTCTTCCCAATTGCAAGAATAAGTTCGAGTTGTTTTTGCTGCTGCTCCTACAGAAAATACTCCATAAACCAATATAAGTCGGGCAATCACCTTGAGATTACATTCAAAAGAAATATTTAATATTTATAATATAAAAAAATTAAAAATTAAAACCAAAGATCTGCCACTGAACATGAGTCAAGACTCCTGAAATTTTTTGAACTATTTTCAACAATATTTTCTTATGGATTACCCCAGCAATATAATAGTACAATAAGTTTCAGAAACAAACATGATAGTATCGTAGGATCCTTGCTAGAATCATGCTCTGCTATTTTTAAGTACATTATTGTTAATTTTTTTACTTAAGTCCACAACATTTATGCTTGTACCATCTTCAAGTGAAACCTGAATTGGTTTACAATGAATGATGAAGAGTTTTTAAAAACTTGACTGTTGGTGTGTACAACACCTTCGTTCAGCATTTCTCTGACCAAGCCTTCTACAAGGGAAATGAGACCCGAGCTGGTTTTCAACGCCAATACAAATTAAAATGAAGAAATGCACTGAAAATAGCAGTTTGATGTCAAATCTAGCGCAATGCACATGGCGCAATGCAGCAGGCCCCACAGGGTAGAGAGGATTACATATGCCAACTCAGATTACATAGCTAACAATACAAATACAATTACAACCATATGAAGGGTATAGAGAGAGAGAGGTTTTTGACAAGAACAATAGAAGAGGGAGAGGCTTATGACAAGAACAAGAGAAGAAGAGTGAGGCAAAGAATGAGATTGAAAATCGGTAAAGCTTTCAGAGGAACAGAATAGCCTAAAAGCAACTTCAGCGACTGAATCTATCCAATTTAAGGATGGCAAAAGAGTAGAATCCAGGTTAGGTTCATCCGTTCAGGTTATACAAAGGGAGGCCATCATGCCTATCGGTGATTTCCATATCTAACCTGGACATAATTTTCTGGAGCATTATATTCTTCAAACAATATCTTTTTTAGACCATATATTAATTATTCCAGTAGAAGGAAAGAGGGATAGCAACAAGAAAACAAAAGCATCTGAGTTGCTCAATGACGACAAAAGCATCACAGAAATGACCAATGAAATCACCTCATAAGTACTCTGTGAGCCTGTGAATATTCAATGATAATGAAAACTACCAGGCAAAGTATTCAGGGTGAAAGAGAAAAAAAAAAAAAAAAACACTACTATTAGCAAAGTTACGAGAGTTCGGGGCTTCCAGTTCTTGCCTCTTCTCATACAATATATAATGGTCTATATATTTATCTCTCTGAAACAAAAACTTCACAGATGGGGAGAAATTTGACATAAAACAAGATTATCCACTGTAACAACCCTGGAGATCCAATAGTATCCAAATTTTCTACAGGGTATAAACTCACAAGTATATATTGGCTGGACAGTAAATAAACTGATACCAAGTGGAGATACGGAATGCAATTGCAATTTTGCAGCCATAAGACATTTTTTCCACTAGCATTTACCTCCAAAACAGAATAAATTTCATTTCTGATATATTTACCGACTAGATAAAATCTGTCCATCCCACATTAATAGTTTTGTTTCCTGCTCTGTTATATTCACTCTTGTGATAAAATCTGTCTATCCATATTCTGCTTTGATATTCGATAACTCATAGATTGATATAGAAACAACAGACTAAATAGATGCTCGAGGAAAGACTACAAAGATACTTCTGCAGCATCTAATAAACATGCATATTGCATAATTTTTGACTTGATTATCTGTCCATCTCAATTTGAATTGATTGTAAAAAATTGCAGCCGCATCTAATTTTCAATTTTTGAAGAATTCCTCTACAGTAAATTCACACATGAATTGATTATCAAAAAGTAAAATATATATATATATATTGCAGCAGCACACTGATGTATAATTGGTACAAAATGAAATTTGATTTTGCAATTTTTGAAAATAAAGCAAATTGAATGTGTAAATATGACAATGATAAAAACAAAAGAGTTAACCGCAATCAGGAAACAAATTTTGGCATTGACTTCTATAGTTTCAATTTATGACCTATGCGGTAACCATTGTTTGGTTAGAGAAAAGATATCCACTAGGGGTTGATATGCTTCCAATCATCTTTCCCTAAGAGAAGAGATGGAAGAACATTAGGTCATTGTTGTAGGTTTCAATTTTCATCTGATTTTCCATGTGGCCAAAGAATGATCCAATCTTATCTAGGTCATCCGAGTATTCGGGTGGAGGTTGCAATTCTAACTCAAACTCGCAAACCTCTGTCCACGAATAAGTGGGCTAGGGTTAAATTATTAAGATAGTCGGGTCTAATTGGGTTACTTAACAAACATGTTTATAGCCAGGTTTTAACGGATTGAAAGTGGGTGCTTCTTGTGTTGTATGCTAAATAGCAATTTGAGGATCAAAACAGGATGGAAGCAGGACCAAACTATAGGGTTTGCGTTGTGTGAATTTTTAGGCTCATTTATTCCAAATCTGTATCATGGTATGTTTATATGCAAGTCAAGCTTGGGTTTAACCCCTTCTGACCAAACTCACTTTTGACTTGATCCAAACTCGCCCAAGCCTGCCTGTTTGTCAGGCCTCATATTGACTTTGAAGGCTTTTGTCTGAATGCAAGTGTCCATGGTATGTTACTCATTACTCAAGTCTTATACAAGTCTTTTGGATAATATGTTGTTGGCATGAATTTATATATATATTGTTAAGTTTTGGGAGTTAAAAGGTATCTTAAAATTTTTCATATTTGCCAGATATGGGCTATAATAATGGTCCAAGGATCTGATTTTTGGTCACATGTCTAGAATAGTTAATCAATGTTTTCAAGTTTTCTATTTTTGAGTCATATTCCTAGCACTGTTAAGAGGTAAGAGAAGTCCAACAACCAGTATACGCACAAATATATTTCCTACTTTAAGGGTTTGGTTTTTGGAGAATTGAAGGTTCTTTGACGATGTGAATGTTATAGGGTGATATATAAATTATTTTGTGATATATAAACTATTTTGAGGCATCCCACCTTAGGGGGCCTGAAATCTTAGTTTGTTCCTCTTGGGATTGGTGGCCTGCCATCTTGGCTGGTACCCAAGGTGACGTTAAGGACTGCATTTTAGCTTTAACAGCAGCAAGACACCATAAGGGGAAGACAACTGAACTAGAGATCATAAGACTAAATGATACAAATTATCATTGCTGACAAAAGACTATTCATAGAATAGGGCCACAAATTACCATAATAAACATATATTAGCAAGATAATAGATAAGAGACTACTAAGAGAGGCAAACTGTATATCATTTTAACAACATCATGGTGATGACAGAGTTATCAAGAATTAAAACCCAGTGGGCAAGCCACTACACCACAGATACCATAATGACAGTAGAGAATGATACCATGAAAATTTGAAACAGTCATCAAACTAGAGAATCACATCAAACTAACCACAATCAAAGTAGGAGGCTATAATTGGAGATTGTAAGTACCATGACCAGATGGAGCAACTTGAATGGAAAGAGAGTATGCATACAAATTGATAAATTTCTTGTAAATAAGAATTTTGCATTATTCATCCATACTAAAACAAGTATTGAGAAACGAAAGAAAGTCCACCAGACTACTACACAACCTAGCAAAAGAAGCAAGTAAGATGGACAGAAGGGTATAGGCCTCAGCTGCCACAACATTACATGTTATCAGAGAACAGCTGAACACTAAAATTTTCTTAAAAGAAAGAAAAAACGAAGTTTAAAAAATCTACCAATCTTGTTATTAATAAATACATAACCTTGAAGAAATTATTAATCTTGGAATAGCTAGAATCTTGACAGTGATGGTTCCACCCTAAACCTCAAATAGGAAACCCATTATAACTCCCTGATTCTGACAAATATCAATGTCCTTCTGGGAGTCAAATTGTTAAAAGAACTTAGTAAGGTGATAAAACTAGGATGTCACATGTACCTGCATTGCCAGCAGAACCTTTTGGATTTCACCAAGCTCCTTTTCCAGAATGTCTTCTTGCACTGCTAATGCTCGAGTGGCCTCAGAATTCTTCTGAGCCAAAGCTACAGTCTTCAGACACAAACAGAAAGTTAGAAGTTCTGACAAATGAATTCCCTGCAATAAATTTACAAGCATGGTTTCCAGATAGAGGAAGAAGCAGTCAATCATTATCACAAATGCCTTACCCAATAATTTGGGATCAGCAACATGATTCCTACTCCACATCTTCAACCTGTTAAGAATTCATGGCCTCAGCATAGGAGCTTAAATGTCTTCTTATTTGTCATTTTTAAAATAGCATCTTCAGCTCACAGTAAGTCACATCTCCTAAGGCAACATAGTTGTTCTTCTTGGGCACGTTCAAACTATCTCTAGTACTACTCTATTATTCAATCCACTAATGGAGCTACTCCCAGTGTTACTTTAGAAAATATTCTTAACTGGCATTTCTAAATCCAGGGAAAATTCCTTCACTAATTAGTAGAAGAACATCTTTGTCTCCACTAAGAAATGTTAGAAATTTTGAGAGGGATTAGGTCAAGATTTCCATCTGACCATTGATCAAAAGACGTGTTTGAATTTTGATCAGAAGCCATTAAAGAAACCCCCTGGCAGGGGGTTAATTGGTGCTGTATGCTAGACCTGTTCTTTTGGAGCCTATAGACCCCCCACCATCCATCGATAGCGGAAACATAACATTCTAGTGCACGAGGCTCCCACCACCACGGGGTCTGAGTAGGGTTTGATGTACGCATTTCCTCATAATTGGGAGAGACTGTTTCTTGTTTCGAACCCATGACCTCCAGGTTACAATGGAGAAACCTTACCATCGCGCCAAGGTCCACTCTGAAGAACATAACATGCCAACTTATTTTATAGAACTGTGAATGGAAACATACATATCTAGTTCCTGAATCCAAATGAGGTACAAATAGTATAACCCTATAAATGAAAACTTATTGAAAACTGTCATTTCTGATTTTATTTTACCTACACCAATCATACATATCAATTCATTTTTTTTCTTTTCTTTGGGCAAGGATTTCTCACTCATCAATTATGGCATCCCTATATAAACAATTATCTTAGTTTTTTGCAAGTAACTACTAAATATCAATTGAAAATTATAACAATGTAATAAAGAAAAGAAAGATCAGCTATCGTTCAAAATAATGAAAAAGAAGAAAAGCCACCAATATAACAGTGAAGCTAGAAATTCCAGCCACCCTAAGCAGCTTCTAAATTTCAATGAGGGGGAAGATGGCCCATCAGAGGAACATAAGCCACTTGTTTAGACAGGGAAAACAAAAATCACCTTTTACTTGACTGACCTAGGTATCCACCAATCTCCACCACATGAGAAGAAAGCAAATCCAAAATATCATAGAGAGTGACAGTGGTGCCATGGATTAAGATATCACAATCTGACACATTCCATCCTAGCACCACGTGATATTTATTGTGGACCGCACATGTTTTTAATAGCCCAACCAGTGCTTAACTCCAGCCCCTTGTTGGTAACGTTTCCAACTTTTACACTTAATATATATCTATATATATATATATATTACAAAATAATTTTTCAAAATTATATTTTATTTTGGATGTATGATTAGACAGAGATATATACATGGGTTCAAAGAGGGTGCCACTTCATGGACATTCAAGTTGTAGAATCCCAAAGATAGTTTTACCAATTTGATATTCCAATTGCACCTAAAAGAGGCTTCAACTATTTTCAATAAGCAACTAAGTGCCTCTAAGTCGTTTGATGATCTCCTCTAACAATGAAATATTATTATTTTGATGATCTCCTCTAACAATTGTTACTTATGTGTAAGCCATTTTTTATCCCGTTCCAACACGAGGCTCCCGCCATTGCGAGGTCTGGGATGGTCAGATTTACGCAGTCTTACTTCCGCATAGACATGCTATTTCCGGTTTCGAACCCATGACCTCCAGGTCACAATAGAGCAACATTACCATTGCGCCAAGGCTCACCCTCCTTCCCCCACAACAACACAGAAAAATAAAATAAAACACTCCCTAACCCAAAACCCCACCAACTTATTGCATAGAACTATGGATGGAGAACACAAATTTCTACTGCCTAGAATTTCAAATTAGGCACAAATAGTATTACATGTCCAAATAAAAACTTATTAAATATTACTTACCATTTCTAATTTTATTTTTCCTAAACCTTTCAAGCATAAATCTTTTATTTCTTTACAAGGACTTTCCACATATCAATTCTACCATCCCAATTTTTTTTTCTTTCCAAGCACCCAGACAAATCCTATTAAAGAATATAACAATGAATTACATAAAAGAAGGATGATATATCCTTCAAAACAAAGAAAAATGAAGAAAAGCCACCAATACAACAGTAAAGCCATAAATCCCAAAGCAAGGGCCCTCATAGGAACTAATAATAAGCTCCTCGTTTAGCCAAAGGCTGACCTAGGGTACACTAATCAACGACTGAGGAAAATACTACAAATCCAAATTCTCTCTCAAAAGGTGACAACATGCAATGGGCTAAAAGATCGCAATTAAACCCATTTTCAACACCAGATTGAAATCATTTTCAATCAAACTACGATGTGAGTTCAAGGCAATGCCATTTAAAGACCTTCCAAGAAGGCTGAAATCTCAGCCTCATATAGCCTCTATGACAACTGTCATATGAACAACCCATACCACTAATATGTTTGTAGAACTTTACTTTCTCCTTACTCTTACTGGAGTGCAGTCACCGACAAACACACCAAGCAAATATCTGCACTTGAGCCTCCCAACCATTATCCTACAGAAAACATCCTCAATGCCCCTTTTCTTTATGAATGATGAACACAACTCAAAATTTGTCAAATTATCCCCTGTTCTTAGAATTTAATCCTAGTTCCTACCACCTACCAGCCAAAAACAACACACACACATAAAAATAAAAAAGAAACTTGACTTCACCTCAATGTGTTTCTTTTTACACACAAATTCTCATCAACAACTTTACCGGAAAAAAGGTTCTCTACAACATGATTCAGTAGAGCTATCAATCAAATATCAGATATCTCTTAAATGATCCACCAACTTCAAAGTGTTAGTCAACAGAATGGCCAATAAAGCCACTCTTTAGAAGGATTGTAATAGCAATAGGATATATATGGCATGAGGAGAAAAAAAAAAAAAAAACTACACAACTTCAACAATTAACTAAGCAATTAAACAAGACCCGTTTATCATGTCATCATGTCCTTTGGTTACAAGTCTAACTCAAAACAATGTAATTATATATATATATATATATATATGCCACCATCATCATCATCCTTGCCTTTATCTTTCTATGAATGGGGTCGGCCACATGAATTCTCTTTTTTCATTCTTCTGTATTATATACCAAGTCTTCTCTTAGATTTAATTTTTTAAATCATTTTTAATTACGTGTAAGTTTTGATCAGTCGGTTTGTCGTTTACCTTTTAGGCAAATAACTCTTCATCTTCTAACAGGTGCATAATCGGGTCTATGATGAATATGACCATACCACCTAAGTCTAGTTTCTCTTGTTTTATCATTTATAGGGACTATACCTAATGTTCCTATCACATGTTTATTATCAATCTTATCTTTTCAAGTTACTCCAATCATCTAAAGTAACATCCTCATTTCCACAACATTGATGTGTTGTTCTTGTGTCTTTTCCAATGCCCAATACTCTGCTCCAATAAAAAGACCTTTCTATAGAATTTTTCTTTTAATTCATATGGTATATATATAATATATCTTCCAATATGTTACTGGGGTTTAGAAGTTCTCCTCTTATCACATTATAGTTAACAAGCTAACAGCAAAGTTATCGAATGCCAGAAAATATCATTACCTCAGCAATGGGATCCTTCAAAGACTTCCTCGTAACTCTAAACCGAATCCCCAACTTCTCAAGCTGCCTTGACAAAACCCTGATAATAGTCGCTGAGCTCCGAAGATCCTCTTCTAATTTCTCAATCCTCCCAACCAAATTAACACCCGAACCCCCTGGTTTCGAAAAGTCCACACATATCCTCCTCCACTGTCGCCTCCGAATGGAAGCACCAATCGCCACCGCACTCACCAAGAGAATAAACTGCCACACAAGAACCTTGTTCCCCAACCACACTATTACCGGCTTCTGTGAGTTGGAAATCACCGAATTGACAACAAATGCAATCGAAATGACGGCCGACGAAACAAGACATAAGAATTCAGCAATTGAAAGAAAAACATCGAAATTGAAATTATCAATACCGTCGTCCGGTTTCTGTACGGTAACGTCTGATTCGTAGACTCTTAGAGGCCATTGGTGGGTACGAAAAGAGATTAAATCATTGAGCTTCAGCGATTTGGGCTTCAGAATTTGAAAATGTGGAGGATTTGTGAAGTACTTGGAGTGAATTGAGAGATGAAAACCAGGGTTTTTGAGAGGAGTAACATGAGGAATTTTGAAGAATGATATGCGAGGGATTTGAGATGTGAGTAACATTGTGGGTTGAGTGGATTGGTAGTGGTGGTCAGTGAGTTAGGATTTTGATTAATTGGATTGCGGAAGACATGGTTTTAGGGTTTTTGATTTTGGGAGAGGACGATAGGAGGACCAACCTGCTACTTAGCTTCGGAGAGAGGAGAGAGGGGTGGTAATGACTGACGATATGTCCAATGTTCGCGCCGTGGGTTTATAGGCCAACGTCGTTTTTTTTTTGTTTTTCACGGTACTATAAATTCAAGCTACACCTACATGGGTCACTTTTTCAATTTTTTAAAACTCTCATCAACTGTTAATTCTGAAAAGGGCAAAAAAAAAAAAAAAAAATCTATCGGTTAAATATATATATATATATAAACATACTGTAATATGTATGTTGAAAAACAAAAAATATATATGTGCATGTGTGAGCAAATTTTAACGGGTACCTAGATTGTGTTTTGGTTGGAATGCCCAGTGATTTTGCTTGATCCATTTTACTATCATATATAATATAATAATAAATTAATTAATAAATAAATCCATGCGAGTCTTCTTAAGAACACAAAGTTCTAACACAAAGTTCTCACATTTAATAATTTATAAAGTAACATTTAATATTTAAAAGTCGCAACGGGAACATTAATACAAATTTATCCAACAGCTCTGATACAATATCAATATTCAATTATTTAACCAATTTATCAGATTTTTTCAAAGTAATTGCTCTAAACCTTAAAGTCACAATGATAACATCAATACTCAAGCGTCTAACCAACTTACCAACAGGCAACAACCCCCTTTATTTCTTTGGAAAAGAAAAACAGTTCAAGAATCACTACTTCACAGGTGAGAGGTAAATGATTGCTATTAATGTGGACTAAATTTTATATTATTTTGTAATTAACCTATAAAATATATTTTAAAATTACATTAAATTCCATTCTTTTTTAAAAATAATAATCATAAAATCACCCGTTGTAAACGTGTCTTTTAGGCATGTCCAACCAAAAAATAAAAGTATCCGTGCACCTAACAGTAGTAGTACTTATGCTTGGCAAGTCTCGATCTTACCAGGGATCGCAAATCCCAATACTTCGGAACTCTTTTCGTATGTATAGTTGCAACATTCTGTTATTTAAAATCAAGTGCCTTTTTAACTTAATTTTCAAATTATTTTTAAAAAATTAACCAAACATCAAAGGACTGCAAATAATATTACCAACTGTATCCACAATTGTACATTGATCCAGCGCAAGTAGGGAATACCCTTTGGTTAAAATAAGCTTTCTACGCTAAATAATTCATGATTCATCCCAACTCCACGGTTCTTTTTTATTCCCCATTTAGAAATAAAAAACATTTTCTAAGCACAACACTTTCTTCCCAACCCGTTCTAATAAAATAGAACGGTAGAAACAAACAAGAAGAAACAGATGCATTATTTTCCAAGTATCACCAGCAAATACAAAGTCTACAAGCTAGCTAACAATGCATAGCAAGAACAAATTTCAATGTCTCTCTCTCCAATGCATGGTTAAGCTCATAATGCATATAAACTAAAGAAAATCCATCGTCCATCCTCTAAAATGAAAATATATTATAACTGGGGCCAATGTCTTGTGTGCATCCACTTTCAGTAATAGGGCATGTACCGCATTGGCCTCCTGAACCTGGGTACCTTCCTGTAGCAGATTACGATGAACAATAGAAAGAAAAGAAAAGAAAAGAAAAAATTATTCATCTCACTCGGAATTCAAGTACAGGACCCAAAATGGGGGACTGAAAAGGAACTCACCCATATCCATAGGGGGAGTAGAAATAAGGGGGTACATAAGGCCTCCTGAATCCATACCCCGCGTAAGGGTTGAAACGCCTTGCACGGAACTGCTTCATCCCAGGAACATTAGTCCTTTTAGCATTAACCTGCAGATAAATATATACATCGAAAAAATTATTAATCGAGTGAGTAGAAAGAGATGAGCAATGACATGACTGTTTCAAAAGCAGTCATGATATGATCCATCATTTGGGCTCAAAACTTTAAGGTTTTCAATTTGGTGTCTCCCAGTCACCAGACGCTTTCAGACAAGTTGGCACCAACCAAACAAGTTTATTTTACACACACAAAACACACATAAATTGGCGTCTCCCAGTCACTGTGAGGCTTTCAGACAAGTCCAGCACCAATAAAACAAGCTTAGTTTGTACATTCATATTTGTGTATGTATTACAGTATGTCTTCCAGTCACCATGAGGCTTTCAGACCAAGTCCAGCATCAATCAAACAATGTTCATTACTTTCATACACATGTATGTATTTATGCATGCATGTATGTCCATATGTATTTATTAGGTAAAAAGATTAAAATTGTTACCTTCAATTGGCGGCCACGTAGTTCAGATTCATTCAGCGAAAGGGCCTCCTGAACAGCCTCTACTTCAAGGAATTCAACATATGCGAAACCCTTTGGCTGGCCAAACTTATCAGTCAGAATAGTTACTCTGTTCACCGTACCACACGATTGGAAATGCTGCTGAACCTCTTCAGGGGTGCATGCATAGTCAACCTGCATGACAAGATTCAATACACAGCATCCCAGTTGAAATTTTTTCAATTTTCTCCATGCATTCCTTCCAAGTATCATATGAAATGAGGCATAAACCAATTAATGGGAAAAGAAAAATACTGAAGAAATTATCAATTAACAACTGAGCCATAACCTTAGTCAAACTACATATTATCATATCATTCCTTACTAACTCTACCCAAGTTAACTTTGATCGTCCTCTTCCTCTTCCCCTAACATTACCTTCAATGTGGAATATGTCACTCTTCCTGACTGGCACATTTCTAAACCATATTAACGATTTTCTCTCATTTTATTTGAAATTGATGCTACTTCAATCATCTTACAAGTTTGTATTTCTAGTTCTATCATTTCTTCTCTTACCGCACATCCATCTCAACATTCACATGTTTGTCACCCACTTCATGAATATGTTGTTTTCTAGCTTCTCAACATTCTGTCCCATAGGTATGACTGGTTTAATAGTTGTTCCCATTCAATCTTAACGGGATATGCTGACCACATAATATACTAAATGTGTTCCTCTATTAAACTATAGTTAACACTATCTCCAATTTCTCCTTCATTATGGATAATCAAGCCTAAATAATGAAAACGTCCACTTTTTTGTACCTCTTGATTCTCAATCCTCAAAACTATCAACCATCCCTACCATAATATACATATCTATACACACACACACACGAATGTACAACCACATACAATCACATAATTCCATTTCTTCTTATTTTTGGTAATGTTTGAGCTTTAGAGTTATCTTCATGTTTTAGGGTTATTAGGATTTGCTTAATACTTGCATATATAAAGGCTGATGTGTAATCAGACGAAGCTTTGATTATTGAAATGTTATTGTGAGTTTGAGAAGTCTGTGTGTCTTCTTCTCCCTCTTTCTCTGGCTCTTGTCAAGCCCTCAGTCTCTTTAGCCTATCTTTTCATTCTCACCCCTTCGTCTATTTTCTCATCCCCTTCTTATCAAAAAAAAAAAAATTTCTCAGCCCCTTCTTTCATTATGGTCCTACATCTTTGGTCATAGCACTATTTGTCCTATCAACTTGGTACCAGAGCGTTCTTGTCCAATCTATACTACATCAATTGCCTCTAGCCCTCTGATCTAAACAAAAATCTGAGCAACTATCACTCGAACCCCTTACAGTATGAGATTGCCTACCTCCCAGAGAATAATCTAGTCCAAATAGAGAAACCGCACCTTCTTGTATCTTCAGATCCTCAATTTTCACTTAATAGGATATTGAGTCATGTGTGTCAAAGTCATGAATTGTTCATCTAAAACAAAAACAAAAGATGATGGAAATAAAGAACACCGAATAACACAAGACAAGTCTATCAAGACTCAATCACATATCTAGGGTAAAGATAATGAGATAATAGAGACTTTACTTGACCTACATCTGATTTTTAATTGGCTCAAAATAATATTTTGAACTTGTTGTTTCCTCAATGATTTTTAAAAATTGATATTTTTTTAATAAAAGAGTGAACAATTGAAATGTCAATCGATCGAGGGAACTCTAGAATGTCTCAATTGAAGAATAGAACAACCGACACATTCCCAAGAAAAAATCTTTCAAAAACTAGTAAGCTTCAATCGATGGTTTTAACAATCGAAGTTAGTGCAGTGGGTGTCAATTAAATTATGACAGAACAACCTTGAACATTTTAACATATATAAGAACAAGAATTAAATAACTGCTTGGGAAGAGGTTATTAAAAAGTTTAAAAGAGTAGGTGAATTGACATGTAATAGAAAAGCTTGGAGAGAGAGAATTCATGTGGCCGACCCCATTCATTGGGATTAAGGCAAGGATGATGATGATTAATTAAATAACTGCATAAAATTTACTGCAGCCTTTTGCCTATCCATATATTACAAATACTTCACCATAAACTTCTCATGTAGTCCTCCAAACCATTACCTCACAAGTCACATTTATTGGAAGAAGAAATATGTGTGCATGCAAGCAACTCTTCTTACAAAACTACCATCATCAACTCGCATATCAGGCTTTTAACATAAAAAATCAGAAAGTTAAAACAAAATATTTTTTAATCACGATGAACGCAGAACTTTGCTCACATCAATAATATTAATGGCATGGTCTAAAGTTGAAATCTAAATAATTATTTTTCAACTTTTCCTACTAAATGAAAAACAATATCTAAAGCAAATCCAAATAGCCTGGGCAAGGCTTGGATAAATTGAGTTGGGAATTTTGCCACCATAAATGGCTTTGGAATCCCATGTGAAATCAAATTAAGAAACACTAAGCAGAGACCTATATATTGCACCGTGCAAAGAATTCACAACACATCACTTATGGATGGTAATGACAGCCGGTATCTTCTGTTGAACAATTTTTTTATATTACATGCAAAGAATAAGGCCACAGGCAAGGAGTGATTGAGAACCTCACCACATCCGGCTTAACAACTAGACATATCTGAAACTTCAACATCCACTTTGGCAAGCATCAATCAAGCTCAGCAACTAAGATTGCATGGCAACGATTCACCTTCGCTCTTCAAAAGACATTGACCTGCCCTCTTGCATGATTGTATTGAACTTGAAGAATCTTAATTCATATACATAATTTTTTCATTCCACCATCCCTTGAAATGTTATCTACCAACAAACGTACAAATCTTTATTTCATTCGAAAAAATAAAAAATACAAAATAAAATAGCTTATGTTCGCTATTTCACATATTTCATAAGTTTCATGTATGCTTTCATCACTCCCTTTTTTCTTTTTCTTTTTCTTTTTTATTTTCCTTTCTTTCTTTCTTTTCCTTTTTTTTTTTTTTTTTCTTTCTTTTTCCTCTTTTCCTTCTTTCTTTCTTTCTTTGTTCCTTTTTCTCTCTCTCCCTCTCTTCTTCTTTTTTTCTTTCTATTTTTCCAACCAAATGTTCCTTTGATCCTTTTCTTTTTTGTTTCTTTTTTTTCTTTTCTTTCAGGGACGTCTTTCCCCTTCAATTTTCAATTGTTTTTTTCTTCTTCAATTTCTAACAACTCAGATTTCAAAAATGCAGGTACAGTTTTTCTTGCATCCAAATCAAGCTTATGAGGAACCAGTATAAATTGCTCCTATCATCAAAATAAAGGATCAAGCCTATTTGGAACCAGCATAAATTCCTTCCATCATCAAATAAAGGATAATAATTCCAACAGTATTCAATAATAAGAATGACCCTGCGACCACAGGAAGACATAAAGTCAAACCATGACTCTAAAGATGGGATGTATCCATATCCACATCCGAGCCAGCATTAAAAAGAATGATAGAGAGATATATATAATTTTTTTTTTATTATTATAGAAAACTATTTAACAAAAGGAGGAGAGCAGATGCGAATGTGACTGGAATTTTGTTAGGCAATGAATGAAAAGCACAGAATCCCTACAAAAGGCAAAGCATCAAAGCAGATGAAAGCACTCTGGTTCTCACATTGCCAACAAATATTGATCGTGAATCGACCTCCTCTCTGCTTGCCTGAGAAGCAGCTGCACTAGCAGGATCTGTGTAAATTATAAAACAAATTAGTAGGGAAAATCGGAAGGTAAAAACAGGAGGGAAGAAATATGGAGAATGACTTATCACTTATGTGTTGCATTTTAAATCACTTGAAGAAGTAGCATACAAGGAATGCGTTAGAATAGCCATATGACCATATAGAAATGTGCCTACACTAGGTGAATAAGTTGAAAAAGAAAGTTTTACTAATTATATTGTGTGGAACCAACAAAATAGGCCAACTGTTTTTGCTCCTGCTCACCCTCCCTTTAAGGTCAGTCAATATTTACAGTAGAAGTACAGACTTCAGATTTGTATAACCTTCTTCAGAAGTGCATTGTAAGAAGGAATACAAAACAAGTGCAATGTGATCAAATGCTTGCCAACTAACATGTCCATGTTCAAACATTTTCGAACCCAGCTGACTGACTTCTGCAATCCTCAAAAGGCCCTAAGAGACTTTCAAATCTCACTCCTCAATAAAAAAAGTTTAATAAAGTTTTCAGATAGTAGGAAAATATTCAGCAACATGGAAAGTGGCAAATGACAAATATCTTTTTTATGAGAGTCTAAAGATAACAGAAATCGTATTTTTCATGGCCATACCAATGAGGTCATCAAGCTTATATGACTAAATCAGGATCTAAAGTGGTGAAATCAATCATATCAGTTACCACACACAACCATATTCCTTCAATCGCATTTTCCCTATTAGCAAAACCAAAAAGAGTATATTATACATCTATTTTCAAGACCATTGTTACTGTGTATATATTTATATATATTTGCCCTAAGGATGATTTAGAAATTGTATATTTAGAAATTGCTAAAACCGCGCACCACAATGCCAGGACTATTAAGAGCTAGCTTACTAAAGTTGGCAATCCAACAAACACAAAGAAGTCATATACTAGAGAAAAAAATTGAAGATGTGAAGGCTTAGGAAAAAAAAAAAAACCTTGAACAGCGCCCATTTCCTTCTCGACTTTGGCCTGCATTTCACGAAGAGCGGCGGCTTCATCTTCCATCTCCTTTAATCGTTTCTTCATCTCATCTAGCTCCTGCAAACACAACATTCAGATCCAATCAATTGCGCGATCCAATCAATTAGGTTTTCACAAATACATGTGTATATATATATATATATGTATATAAAAAGTGAATATGAGAAAGAAGGGGGAGGAGTGGACCTTAACGGCGGCGTCGTCATCGGCGGCGGACATATCGACGTCGGCGTTGTTAGGCTCCATCTCTCCTTCCATTTCACCCTCGTCTGGGATTTCTCCTCCGTACACCTCATGTTCCTCTTCCTCCATTTCTCTCCTCACTCACGACCCTCGACTCTCGACTCTCGACTCTCGACACTCGTCAATTGATTGCAATCTCCTCCTCCTCTGTGTTGTCTCTCCCCTACATGGGCCATACGGCAATTATAAAGAAACGGTGTCGCATAAAGGCGCAAGTGTTACCGACCAACCGTCTTGGCAGGTTATTCGAACGCCGACATCTTCTACCCAATGCGCGGGTAATACAACCCAACAGGTAAATGGGCTGTCGAAAATGACCCGGCCCAACCGGTGTCAACCAGCTGGAAAAATGGGCTCCCCTCTTTGGTACCCAAATTAATATCCATCATTCTTTTGGGCTTGGCAACTATCTTTGTTTTGGGACAAGAATGTAAAATTCTACTCGGCCAAGATTTTTTATTTTTTTTATTCTTGATACTTGGCCAAGTTAGCTAATCCAATTTAAGCACACGCGATGATGGGCCTCTCCCCACTACCATTAATTAATTAATTAATTAATTATTATTTTTAAAATGGTTTACAACTAGTCGGGTCACTTTAACTTAAAAATAAAAAAGCTTAATAAATGACATGGTCTTAAATATCTGAATTTGTCGTTTTATTGAAAAATTATTAGACAGCTCATAGCTATTTAATATTTAATGGACTATCTAATATTGTAGAAATTAGTATTAAGAATTGTTTATAATATATTAATACATCTTTGTAGAGTTTCAATTGAATAGTCAAACTATTCCACTTAAATGTTAATAGTCCAAACTATATAATAATTCCCCAATTTTACCCGTTGAGACTTGTTGGATCTTTATGCTTATTTGGCAAAAATTCTCATATGCATAACTTATCCATTAATTGGCGAAAAAAACTCATTTTAGATTTATGGCATGTCACAATGAATAACATTGATGTTATAGTATGTGATTGTGATATGAGCTTTAAAACATGGTTCAAATTATTGAACTCCTGAAAAAAGATATGTCAAGTGGGCCATTTGCCCTAATTAATTGAGGTGAATTTTGCAAAATTCATAATAATATGAATATTGGATGCAGATGAATCAAGTGACATGCCAATTGAATTACATGTTTTTACAATTTTTTTCTTTTACCTTAAAGGTGTGTTTAACGGCATGAAATTAGAACTTTAAATTTGGAATTGGAGAAAAAAAATTTCTTCCTGTAAATCTTATTTTTTACTTTGGTTAAAGAAAATGACAAACACCACACAATGTCAAATTTTAATTATTGTGTTGATCATGGATGGTTTTATTGAAAGATGCCCTGGTGATTGCGTAAAAAATTATTACAACAATTGCGATTCATCGTAGCTATTGTGATCCACCAATCACACAGGTCACGGAAGGCTACTTATTTTAATAGATAAACAGTAAGATTTGGTTTAGTAGAGGCAATGCGGTTCAGTGAAAAGACATGATTTGGTGTTAAGCGCTGAATGTTATACATTTTAGCTCCTTTACATGCATGTTTTATTCTCTTAATAATGGTTTATTTGTGATTCTACATTGTTTTATTGTTTCTATTTAATTTAGGACTTTAATTGTAAAATTAGCCAAGACCAGTGATTCTGAACTTTAAAAGATAACATTCCGTGAGACCGAGTAATGTTGAAGATCAAGTCTAATTATAATTATACTTTAGTTTATTATTATTTTTTTTTGACTTAAAAAATTTAGAATTAATCATCACAATTCGATTATCCTACTTTCAAGTTAATTTAGAATTTAAAAAATCTGTTGACAAACTTATTTTACACAAGTCCCTTGGGTACGACACCCTTACAAATAAACCCTATTTGCAAATATTCGTGCATTTGCGAGTGGTACATATAAATCTCACAACAAGTTTTTGGCGCTGTTGCCAGGGATTTATTTTAGTTCTTGACAGATAATATTAAATTCTACAATTAATTTCAACTAGGATCTTAGTTTAGGATTTTAATTTTATTTAATTATTTATTTATTTTGATACTGTTTTATTTTATTTTATTTGATTCTATTCACAATTTCAGGTGGAAGATGTTCTTTGTCACTCCTTCAACTTTCGTTAGACCCAAAAATCGAAAGGACTCTCAGAAACTTGAAGAAAGATTTTGGAGGCCTAAAAAAGAAAAAGATGACGGATGATCCACCAGCTGCAGAAGCAGTTCGTTATTTAAAGGATCATTACGAACCAGGTGCATATAACTCTTCATCTGCAGTTTGGTATCCTTAAGTGAGGGCCCCTCACTACGAAATTAAGGCCAACTCTTCAGTTACTGCCTTTTTTTTATGGCCTATCAAAAAAAGGATCCATATCGGCACTTGGATGACTTTGCAGAGGTGTGCAGAACAATAAAGATCTAGAATTTTGACGATGATGTGCTCAAACTACACCTTTTCTCCTTTTCATTGAAGGATAAGGCGAAGGACTAGTTTAATTCATTGCCAGCAGACTCCATCACTACATGGGCTGAATTGTAACAAAAGTTTTTGAACAAGTACTTCCCATGGTGAGAACTACTCAATATCGAGATACTATTACTCGTTTTGCTCAAGGGCTTGACGAGCCTTTTCATGAGACTTGGGAAAGATTCAGAGACCTCCTTCGGAAGTGTCCTCATCATGACATGCCAAAATGGCAGCTTTTCAACTTCTTTCATAAGGGGCTCAATGAGGCACAAAGGTGTATGGTGGATGCCTCTTGTGGTGGAAATTTTATGTTGAAGAGTATAGAGGAAACATGGCAGCTTTTCGAAAATATATCTGATAATTCTACATAACATGTCTTACCTCCAGTAGTAAGACCTCATACCATATTAAGGAGAGTAGAAAGTGTGAATGAAGCAGGAATAAATCAAGGGCTAGTGAGCCAAATTGAGGCATTAACCAAGAGGGTGGATCAATTGATAACTTCACAATCAAATTTTATTCCTCCTTCAACTAATGCTCAGGGCTTTTAAGTGTGTTATTTCTATTCCAGTCCAACTCACCATGTGTCCATTTGTCCAAGTGCAGCTCAGTATTCAGAAATTCCACAAGAACAAGTTAATGCTACCTATGGAATGCCCAGAGGTAATATGTTTTCAAACACTTACAATCCGGCTTGGAGAAACCATCCAAACTTCTCATGGAGAAATCTAGCCATAGGGACATCAGTTCCTCCACCTCAAGCACCTCAGGTGCAAGGCAATTTTCAATCTCCAGTTCAGACTTCAAATCCTCAAGGGTTCACTCCTATGAATGCCTTTAGTCAACCTCAATAACTCTCATCAATGCTCGAGGCAATGATAAGCAGTTAGAGCCAACTAATCAACTTGTGCAGTCTCATTCTCAATCCCTT